GTTTCATATTATAATAAGTGCAAAACATCGATTTTCGGTTGTTTGTCATTTGTGTCCCTGCGTGTTTCCACAATGTGTTGGACTGAAAGACAAAATGCCACGACTGCGCCGTTAAACGTTATGCTATGCCATAATGTGTGCAATATTATTTACCTATTTCTACGAGTGGCCATCATTATGATCATTGCTAGAATTCAAAAATAAGCTCATACAAAATGTTACTATTACTACAATCAAGTCGTACTCTGATTAATATCCGTCCATATAGTTATAATTTACGATTATTTGATATTATTATACCTTTATTATAATTATACGAATCTGGAATCTATCTCAGTACCTCTACATCCTAATATTATTTAGTTGAGTCAAATACTCTGTTTGCACATGAAGCGTGTTTTATATTTAAATTTTAATGGACATTTATATTTAATACGGACTTGTTCTAATACGATTTATGGAGAAAGACAAATTATGATATAAACTATATTAAATATCAGTAAATAGAAGTACTATAGTACTGGTAAAGAATGTGACGTTATACTACACATATAAATTAATGCAATGCACGCGAATTATATATTGGAATTTTAATGTATTTGTTTAAACTCACCTTCGCTTTTTACTTTGTATTCATTATAATAATAGTGAGCATATTGTTTGGAATGTGCTGGAAAAGGCATGGTTCACTATGCGAATTTGTACGCATTTGCATATTTTTTTTATGGCTGATCATATTAAATGCTAAATAAGCACAACATACGTTTCATGGTGCTGTAAATATTTATACAGACTTTTTTATTTAATGCATATTGTATTTGTAACTTTCCACATTATTTAAATTTGAAACTACGAATTTAAGGATATATTTTGTCTATTAAATGCACATTTTAGAATTTTTACTAAATATTGTGTTTTTAGTGATAACAATTAATATTTTTTTGTCATATATTTTAACCAACATATTCTATTTTTGTATTCTTTATTTTTAATAAATTAATTTTTACTAATATTTGTTCTATCCATAGATAGACATTAAAACTATTATATGTTAAAACTGTATTTGACTTATTTTTATCACAATGAATTGCGACCATCAACGGCCATTAAGTGTGGGTAACAGTTATGCAAATTATCATGTAAAAAAAAAGTTTTTCCTCCAAAAGTATGTGATCATTTTTATAGTAATTAAAATTTTTTTAGATTTTCAGTGTATGGTTAGGTGTATGGGCGTATGGCACATGTTTTTCAGAGCACCTTTATTTGTCCATCAAGACAAACATTTTATTAGTTTATTCCATGATAATATATTATACATTATTAATTAGCTTAATAAAACTTATCTGCTATAAAACGTCGTTATTATTTTCATAATAAGCTTAGTAAATAAAATAATTTTGTATTGAGATATTTTATCATCCACGAATAAAATTTAGCTGTTAAAATTACCCGTACACAAGTTAAAGCATATTTTCACTAAATCTGCACATGGTTTTATTATTTGAACACGGCGAATATTGCATGCAGTTTTWTTTTTTATATATAATTTATAGCTTTTATAGTTTTTGGAAACGTGTACAGTACAAATATCATATTATGTGGCATATTGTACCATTGTATAATATTTAAATATTATAATTCGATTCATTCAATGCGCAATTATATTATAAATGTGAGGTATCGGAAAGGACGAATGTTTAACAATTATTCGGAATAATATATTGACAGCTCATGACTAGTTTATGAATTATGAATGCTGTGAAAGAAAAATTTAAATTAACTGGGAGGAAGAGTAATATAACATAAAATATCATATTCATATTATTTATTTAACAACTGAAAAAACAAAAGTTCTTTGGTTTGGTTAATATTTGAATACTTTTTTCATCTGTCATCTATGTTTTAACAGTAGGTATTGAGAATAATTTGTTTTTTTAGTGACAATTGTACACGCGTATTGCCAATGTTTTTGTGCGGACCATTGATCATTATTATTATCAAATTCATTTGACTCGATTACAGTAATTGTAATAACTAATAAAAAAACATCAGCGCCGGTATCGAGATATCGCAAATAAAAATTAAAAGTATAATAATTAATGGCAAGTTTATTTTAAAACCTATAAACTTCGGTAAAAAGTATGGTATGAGTACAATATTACTATAGTTTGCTAGTACGATAATTTAGTGACTGAAGACAAAGTCGTACACTCTCAGCACTCTTTATACTATGACGCATTCGAATCCGTTATTGTCATAATAATAAACTTATGGTTATCAAATTAACGACTTAACGCTTATACTTTGCACACACAAAATTTTGAATTTTACATAACCTCGTGCGATGAAAAATAAGTATTGTATTTACATCTGTTGTCTACGAGTCATCGATATATTGTCGATACAAAGGCGTAGACGAGGTCAGGAGATGAAGAAAAACGAAAGCGGTAGAGTTTGAATAAATTACGATATTAGAATCATAATAACTCGAAAATAYATTGCTCGCATTGTAATACGATATTACACTAAATTGTATGGTGGAGCAACAGCCATACTATTCTATTATTAAGCATAGTAATTTCTGTTGTTTGATGATGATGTTCAAAGAGACGTCGTCGTTGCCGGAAACTCAAATCCCGGGATAGGTCCATAATATAATGGTATAGCCGTTATATGTACGAATCCACTTACTACTCAGGGGTTGCTCAAGTCCCTCCAAAATCAACTTATCAGTGACACGTGAGAGGCAATTCTACAACATCTTTAAAACAAGTATAACAATAAAAGAGAACATTATTATTGAATAAAATATGTACAAAATGTAATAGAAACTAAATTATAATGTAATAATTAAAGTGCAAGTTTAAACAATTTGAAAAAATATTCCTGAAAATAAAATATAAATCAATTTAATTATATATTTATAGTTACATGAGAATTTTTTTTTAAATTTTTCTTGTTAAAAACATTATTGTAAGTATTGAAAACGATATAAATAATATATAATATAACATCATATAAAATATTATTATACTTAATAYGGGGGTACTAATTTTGATTTTGGGAGTGCTAAGCACCCTCAGCACTCCTGGAATTTACACATATAATGTATAGGTATTGTACGCTATAAATTGGATGGGGTCCAGACTAATATACTGACGTCGAATCGATTTTTGAGCACTTGCGAACGATGTCTTCGAAACCGTTYCAATGTTGTTCATCACGATGTTAAAAATTGCATTCATCGATGAACATCTTCAGAGGCAAAGAACAAATTGTCATTATACCATCGCGTATTTRGATCTGCCAAGTTGYCAAGATTATGGCYATTTTCGTTATAATGTYATATCTACGGTCGTAGTGAATTCAAAACAACATCARTAAAAGTTTTAGTAAACCGTTTATTCATTATTTATCATATTTACAGACACGGTTGGTGTTTTATATATTGGTAGTACATATTATTATTTTACACACAATATTTTTCGTTTTTACATTTCGTACACATCTTAGCGAATAAATTATGACTAGTTTCGATCACGCGTCACTATATAATAATATTAATACGCGATTTAATTTTATATTGTGTATAATGCGCATTACAATACATGGTATTATTATTACTATTCACAATTGTTACCGTAACACTACTATAAATTATGTACATGTATTTTTCGCTCGTAAAAACATTATGTTATATACAAAATATATTTTATGCGTATATTTACACTACATTACATCACGATGTCACTAATATGTACAAGTTTCGTTGGTATTTATCGTGCCAAACGCCTAAAATTAAATAAGTATCTATCTCGATTTGGCACAGACGACACTTGCGCCGAGATCGTGTCCGACCTATAAAACGTGAACTCGCTGACGGCAAAGTTCGTWAGCCCGTTTGGAAGTACGTTGTGTACGTATTTTTTGTCGATATCACGTGAATGAATGGTTACAGTGGTCGCGGACCGAGCAAAGTCGAATGGACGGCCCGAGAACACGTTATACAGAGTGTATCGCTGAGATCCGACAACAGTTTGATAACGCGTCAAATCGTCAAATCTTTGCGAGCACACGTGTGTTGCGCGCAAATAATATAGGTCGTATAATATTCTATATCATTACATAATTTTTGTTATAAAATTKTACACTATTGTTAATTAATATTATTATTAAATAATTATTGTTTTATAAACATAAAGGTAACGATCGATTTAGGACGTAGTTTATCATATATAGTTATTCTATTTTAACTTAATCGTAGGTATATATAATTTTATATACCACTCATATTTTTCATTTATAGAGATCTTAATTTTCCCTATGAATTAAGTATCTATACATTTAGTGGTTTAGTCATGCAAATTTCATACATCGACATGAAAAAAACGTTATCGTCGTCATCGTTGTTGTTGTCACTGTCGATGATTTTTTTTTCGAACTCCATTGAGACCGGAATGCGTAAGTACCCACCAACGACGAATATACGTGATTCAGAGCTCGAAATTTAACTCTATATAAATATTAACAACACGTAGGAAGTATAATAATGTAGTACAATAATAATTATACAATCAGAAAACGTTAGCGATAAATTATAATATATGATGAACACTTTTGCAGGACGATGTCACGAATTTTTTTGAAGATTTTTGTTATTCCAATTCCGCCAACGAAAGAAGTATGACATATTACACTGAATTAAGATATTATGCTTTATAATAGGTTTGCGAGACACGTCGGAGTGTATAAAATGCGCCTCTAAACGAATGGTGCCAATAATGTTCGGCAATGGTGTTGTGTTATACGACAAAAGTACAMAACAGATCAAGACTGAATGAAAATCGCTTTCCGGGCGAATATTCTCGTACGGGCTGAAGTTTGACAATAGCAACGACGATAACAGTAACAATGACAATAATGCTAATAATAAAAATAATAATAATAATAATACGATAACAGTTGGTAAAAATTACGAAAAACGGTTTTTTTGTACATGATAATAATAATAATAATGATTWTAATAGAAAATGCTGTATAACAGAGGTAAACGTCTTGTCCGCAGAAAAAACTATACATTTTACATAGTAACGTATCGATAATTATAAGAAAAATCGTCGAGACAGGACATAAGAAGCCGTCATAAGAGAAAAAAAAGTTAGGGCGATTGTTGCTGGTATAGTCAGGGCGCGTCAGGCATTCAGGTTCTTGGTGAGCAACAGGTTGTTGTGCGGCCCGGAAAAATGGCGGACCAGCTGCTGGAGCGTGTCGAACGTCATCTGACAGAAGCAGCAGTTGAACGCGGCCGCCGTCTCCTGGTCGGCGGCGCTGGTGCCGGGCGATATGACGTTCCTGTGCACCGAGCACAGGTGTTTGAGCAGGTGCGCCTTCTGCTTGAACATGGCCACGCACAGGCGACACGCGAAYGGCTTCTCGCCCGTGTGCACGCGGAGGTGAGTTTTCAGGTTCCAGCTCATGCCGAACTGCTTGCCGCAGTACGTGCACTTGTACTCGCGGCCCGCGCCACCCGCACAACCCGACGACTTGTCTTCCGTGTCGGACGACGACGCCGCGGACGTCGGCCCGGCCAGAGATGCGGGCGAGCTGTGCTGGTGTGCCTGGTGTTGTRCTTCCRCTGCCGGTTCGGATGACGCCGCGCACGGCTGCAGGGCCATCGGTTTCACGTCTGCGGAGAGAGAAAAACGAAAACCGCACAAGTCAGTATATAATATTATGTTAAATTATTATCATTATTATTATTTAAAATCAGCRGAGACGATTTTAGCACGACAAACGACTCAACGTCTCCCGAAAAATCCTACAAACACAAACAATCCAATATATTTTTGGACTAGCTGGACATTTTCGAAAGTCTTTAAGAATTTGCTGGCACACATCTATTATTGATATTAACAGCGTTTAAAAGTTAAGACTAGTGTGATGCACTCCTAAACTTTTGCGGGGTACCTGCCGTTTTTATACCGTTTTTCCATTTGCTGATCCTTATACAAACTCTTTAAATGCTCATTATTATTGTTGCYTATTATTTCCATTAAATATTCGATTTTATTCATATTGGAATTTTTCGAAGAAGGAATTCTGAATCTAATAACAACATTTTAATTTTAAATTATTGTAATCTATATGCATTAAAAGTGGTGATTGTATTAAAAAATAATATTTGTAATAATTGCAAAGTTATGTAGTGCTCTAAATATTTAAAATGTCATTACTTGAAAAATCAATGAACCTAGTAATTTAAACGGATATTGCGTACTCAAAACCTCGTGATATAACACCGTAATACTAACCAAATGTTTTTTTTTAATCGATAAATCCTGATTTAACCGTGTCATATTAATAAAACATAAAACATTATAAAATGATGTTTCAGTTCTTTTGTGAAATATTAGCGTTTAGCAATACCTATACAATATTATAATTAAATATATTATATAATATATTTGTAATAATTATTATCAATGCGTTAAAATGGATATTGGGCGACTGGGCGTTTATGAACAATAATGATAAGGTATAACAATATTGTTATTATTAATTTTTATTGGGCAATATTATACATAGTTAAATTATCATATGTGTTTTGCTATGATTATTGCACCGAGTCCACACTTAATGCGTGCACAATAATAATATTATTGTTATCGGACGAGGTGGACCATAATATGTGTGACTCAAAATAATATGATTGTAAATAACTGTTATCAGCTCAGTAGTGATATAAATTATATAATTATATCATAGTGGTATAGATAGGCCGTGACATAAACTGGAACAACAACGGGAAGCGTACTAGAAATTGGTCACTAAGTTAGTATTACTCTCGACTCAGTTATCCGTAATGTGAAATAATGATAAAATGTTTTTCTGATACGTAGTTATACAATATCCACATCGTCACGCAAAACGAATTCGAATAGATATCTATAAGATTACCTACTTTTTAAAATGTTATGCACATTTATGCATATTTCAGACCAATGTGCGTCCCTTGCAGTAAAAAATCGGCGTTACCGAATGAAAGGTCGAAATATTTTCGGTATAAAATCCAAGACGTTGGGTATTATTACGGTCGAAAAGTCGATTTGTTTTTAAACTTGTTGTTAGCGAGTAGTAGCTATCGTTCTTGTGCACGATTTCGATACACCATAATATTATTGTTACAGTTGGGTCTTAGGATGATATGGACGACCTACTTAGAATATAGGGACTCCAATTGCCTGGTCAATATGAATATGTTTGAATGCATCCTGATCATTGTTGAACGTACTGACTTATTCAACTAGTTCCACAAAAAAAAAATTCTCCGTTATCCGATAAACACCGTAGGAGCACGCTATTTTCTCTATCCGTATTGAATTATCAATATATTTACTACACACCCCATCGAACTTGCATAAAATACTTGTTCAGGTCATATTATATAATATCAGACCGTGCAATCTACGTGCGCATTAACGAGGTCGAGTCATTATTATTATATTATATTACACTATCCCAAAGTTGTGTAATAATAGACAGGGATTAGGAGGGTTGTTTCATACATGGAATAACACAAACGTTTGAAAACTTTCTTCGTGCCGACTCCTGTTATAATTACACCGTGGTGAAACCTCTCGGAGGGTGCCAAAGTTTTTGAATTTCGAAACACCACTTGGTGAAAGACTACAATATAAATTATACACACACACACACACACACATATATATATATATATGTACGCATGATATTGTTTGTTAAACGTGCCATTAACACGCACAATATATAATATAACATAATATAATGTTTCACTGTCATTAGTACTTAACGAGAACGTTTATCAGTCGGTTAATATTTTTTCGATGAAATAAACATATACCCGATAATCCGATAGTACCTATTATCTATTAGAATACTCTTATCAGGTCTATCGATAACCAAACGAATACTACGATTGCCATAGATACGGATTCATGCGGATTTAATGTAGTTAAAAAAAGTTTTTTATCTATAATACTATTTATGTCACATCCCTATATTTTAAATACCGTCAACTCGAACGTAACAGAACGTAATATATTATATCAAAGAAAAAACATCGAATGACACAGGAAAATCAAATATACCACTCAACCACTAACGTTATTATAAATTCTAACGTGCAGTAATTGTGAAGAAATGTATTTTATAACTGTAGTAGATGATAGTTTGTATCTATCCCATGGTGATCTTAACTTGAAAGAGGATGGATTTTTTTTATTCACGTTTTTATGTCACTATAATACTAAATATAAGCGAGGATCTGCCAACGCTTAATGGCGATGACAACTGGATCAAATTATCAATAATATTTTAACCATTATATTATATAGTCTGTACCAGTAGTCTTCAAACGTTTTGACTCGAGTCACAATTTTCTTACCATACATTTTTTACGACTCATGTCAAGTTTGTTAGACAAAAATAAAGTCCCAACTGCTTAATTCCTTGGTAGGTAAAAAAAAAAAAAAAACTTAGATGGCTGTAATCCTATCCATTCCTCTATTATCTACATTGTTTCTTAATAGGCTAGGTATTACCCGCTGCATTGCCATAACGGAATACGTACCGGACGATGGTTTCCAGGTTGACCCATTCTCTGGGTAACCGCCGAACGATGACGACTGCGTTGGTTGTCCGGACGGTGGCGGCGGACTGCAGTCGTTGTCTGACAGCGGTGGTGGCTGCAGTTGGAGCGGCGTCGGCGGTGGCGGTCTGTACACGCCGGAGTCCTGAGATCTGGACCGGCCCATGTAGATAGGTGTCCTGGGCGGTGGSGTGTCCCGGCCGCCGTCGTCTACGGTCCGTGTCAGGGTCAGCGGTTGTTGTGGAGCTGACCCGAACGGATGGTGCACGAACGAGCTGAGCGACTGCGTGATCTTCTGGTGTCTGAACGCCATTTCGTGGAAGTACATGGGCACGAACGGTGGATTCTGGGCTGGAGAGTTTTGGAACCCSGGCTGTTTCTTTCGTTTCCTCGGAGTCACCTGTACAGAACGGTCGTGGTCAAAAATATATCTTTGACTAGAAAAAATTAAATATTTTGCTGTCTTGAGCTATGGATTGGCTATATGGTAATTGATAAAAAGTTTTGCAGTATCYATTATAGTCTCAAACTGCAAATTCCTACTATTTTGTGTCTAGCTCACAAGGATCTAACACGGAGTAGGGAGTGGGTGTTTCCTAGATTCATCACTGGTCACAATAGTAAGATATGTACTCATAAAGTTGTAATATCCTTAGCATTATATAAAGGAATAGACTAAACGCAAGTGAGAATTTTTATACTCCGGAATGACGACAAACCGAATCGATCTCACTGCGCTGCGACTTAGGTGACATAACAAGGCTCAAACGTTTGTGTTATAACTATATTACTCGGGTCGGAAGTTGTTAAAGTTGTATATTATTTATCTGCGTTTTTTTTTTTACATCATTGATTTATTCTAGACCGCCAAGTTAGGAATTATTAAGACGAGTTTAGATACAAACGTATACTTTTTGCTGCATATTTGATGAGTTTTTAGTAAACAACCCAAATTTCTTAATTATTTTACAATATTATCTTTATGCATATTATAAATTATATTTTATTATTTATAAAAACAATTTATGCTTTTTGTTTTTTGTTTTATTACCTATGTATTTTTTTCTTAATTGCTTTCAATGTCCAACCAGTTTTCCTTCACATTTCACGAATAAATACCATATTTCTTTTTAATAAAACAAATAATGTTGCAATAGGTACTAATGTATTATTATGTAACTATAATAATCAATAAGTTATAATTTAATTATTTAAGTTTAGAATAATTTCTTTCTTTTAACAACTTATTGATATTAATTTTACCCTTCAAAACATTAAGTTATTAATCCAAATGTCATAGAAATAACACTATTAGTGGCTATATCTGCAACAAACGTGAGTGGGCAGTGAAGTATGTGAGGCCGGAACAAAAAACTCGCACTGTATCGTATTATATATATTATTCTAATCGTTTTTCGTATTGCGTTATTGTATGTTTTTTGCTGGACTCTGTTATGTATAGAACATTGCAAATATTAGCACTGATAAAATATACAATACACATAATTTCATCTTGTGAACGTAAAGCATAAAATTAAATTAAAAAATGTTTAGAGGGTTTTTAGATTGTTTTATTGATATTTTATGATATTCTTATCGAATTATACTTTAGATAAGTTTGTGGTTTTAAGATCGATTTGTTCATATTTATTTTACTATGTAAGACGTAAGTGTTAAAATACACATAACTTGYGTACATACAATTATCAAATTGTGAAAGAGCTACAATATTATAATTATTTTAGTCAAGATTCATAAAAATTATTCATTAAAACGGAGTCATTATTATAATATTGTATGTTATTATCGTGTTTATTATTTTTTTTTTCACACAATAAATTAATTGTTTATGACCCATACTACACTTGAATAATATTGCCTACTATAATTACTACACTGCAGAAAATGGACAAGAAGCTAATAACACATTACGAGATAATATATTCACACAAGTTCGAAACGTTTTCATTTGATTCGATCTACCRTGCTTTTTTTTAACCAGCAAATACCGTGAGATCGTATTAAAATATTTCAATATTAATACAAATTATATATACATATGACGTGCATATTTCGTGAGTTTTTAGAGCCACTGTTAATTGTTATACGTCATACGAATATAAAATATATATTTTTACGGCRTTTGTCCATATAATACATCAACCTTTATACTACATTTACAGCAGAAATATGGGTTAGTCGGGAACTACGTTGGAACAATCAGACCTCTGTACTTATTTAGTTGATTGAAAATCGTTAATGACTGGTGGATTACAATAATTATTCATACAAAAGTATAGACCAAATAAAATATAACCCTTTTTGTGAATTTGTTTACTTGTTCAACTTTTCGATAAAGGATAAAACCATCATGGAAGGTCAACTGCTTTAACTTCGCTAAATTCCAATCAAATATGTTATGATAATACATTTTTTATCTCAGATGTTTTGAGTAGCTTATACAAAACATTTTGCGCAACAGCATAGAGAATTATTGAAATTCAGAATTCGAATCTAGTTATAATATTTTTGATTTTTTAGGGTAAAAATATATTTGTGAATGGCGTCAACGTGGCAAATTCATAAAATTTTAAGTAATTGGTTATTGATGTTTTTGAAATCAGAATTTTTCTTGTGAATAAACGTGAATTTTCATGAACATTTATAATAATATTATTATGTACAGTTACCAAAATAGTAAGTCGTATAGATCAATTACGGAACACGTGCTGAAACCAGTGTCAGCATCACATTGTATTATAAAAAAGCGTGCCGAATTAGATGTAATAGGACAATATTSGCGGAAAATTTCAAAAGTGTTTCGTGTCACCACACAAATAAGTCGAACGAGGTCGCACTTCATTATTTTGCATCCCTGGTTGATTTTTGAATGTACAGAGATTAAGTAAGAAAAATGCATTCAATACAACTTTATTATAAAGACCAACCTAATGCGCAAAGACGTACTATATGTATTRTGACATCTCAYRTTATCGGCACCCGCGAGTTTTCGWGGAACAAAAACGTCAAAACCACCGATACAAAGCACGAAGTAACGGATATTCGTGTTTGGTTGCATACGTATATATACATTTATTATACTACACTATATTATAGCATTATAGTCGTTGTCCTTATTTGCTGGATTTCTTTGAGAATCGTATTGTATTAAGTGGATACAGATTAGTATTGCGTCACAAATAATGTATTTGGGTCACATCATTTTTTCATTATTTCATCATAGGAGTTTTGGAATCTTGTTACCACCAAATGATTTTATGATGTTATGCCATTGTTATCGAATAAGTAATGAAAAAATATATACATATATTTTATAGTTTCAATATGAATAAATAACTTTGTGAATTTATCATGAATTTGTGACATTGGACTAATCATTTTTAATAATAATAATAATAAGAAGAAGAATAAGAAACAAGAGCACGAGTGTATAGTATAAAATGGTCACTTCACAGGCGTATGCTTGAGCTTATTGCAAATCGCCTAAACTTCATTTGGGACATAACTTAACCACAAAACATTTATCATTTGATGGTGAGAAATAGCAGAATCCTCCTTGTAAAATATAATAGTCTAATAAAGTATAAAATTATCATGCGTACCACGTAGTCAGCGGGATTCAGCCTCGCGTCTTTACTGTCCGAGTCGTTCGTCTCTTCGATCTCGGGGTCTAAGTTTGGTTCCGCCGGGTCCATGTATGGTAAGTTCACCTCGCAGCTGTATTGAAGCTGTGAACTGCGGTATTCGGTTTCAACCCAGTGCGGTTCACGTTTTGGGAACGGTTGGAAACCGTTGTGGTGGTAGTCACGTTCATGGTGGTGCGCGTAATCGTCGAACGGTGAACTGCTCCGCCGTCTCAACTTCCGATGGCTCTCCTCAAACTATTACGCACAAGACAAACAATAATAATACAATACATGCGAGTGATCGAGTAAACGTCATATAATAATATAACCAATCGATTCTCATATAGCATCGTTCGGGAACATATTAATGTAAGCACACATTGGACGTGTCCAAGACTCACCTTTGATACCCGCCAGTTGGACTGAGTGATAGACGTATCCTCGTTGTTTTTCGTGTCGATCGACAGGTTTACGGGCACGGACGACCGTCGCCGCCGTTTTTTGGGGTGCACCTCGCAACGGGACGCTGGCGATAGATTCTCAGGATCAGTCCTTGCAGACAGGTCCGACGACGCAGCTGACGGCGGTTGTCCGGGTGGCGGAGGTGAAGATGACGATGCTGATTCGTACATGGCTCGTTGCCATGTGTCCGACCGAATCTCTAACAAGTTTAACAGGCTGACCACCTCGTCGAATTCGTTTTCCTGCAAAGGCGACACACACATATACACATACACACATGAACATATATTTATTAACAATAATCACTATCACAATACAAAATACACGTTAAGTCAGGTCAAGTTCATTTCAGATCAGTTCAAATCAGATTTGGATGACAATATAATTTATATGGGTTTACGCGTACCGTTATATATGTATTTGTTAAAGAATACAATTTTTTATTATACGTGAAGTAAAAAATTTGTAAAACGTTTTTTACCTAAACGCTAATAAAATGTCCAATTTTCATTCTAAAAAATATAAATAATTTATAAACAACTTTTAGGATGAAATTGTAAATTTAAACTAAGAATAATGATTTTAGTTATGTAGTTTTTTTGCTTAAAAATATTATTTCTTGACACTTGAAACTTTTAAATTGTATTGTTATATTAGTACACATTGTTCATTTTCAAAAGCTATTCAGCAAAATTTTTTTAATCAACCTTATCCCACTCACCTTTTTAAAATTAAAATTATATTATAGTCGATGTAGAAYGACAGAAAATGGTCGAATAATATATTTTTTTCATTTAAGTCGATAATACTATTATAATACAATGATGATTATAGACTAYTTTAATATCTACGATTATATAAAAAATTTGACAAAATACAATTCTTATAAATTATGAGTTATAAGCAAGTAATAAAATTGTTGTCAATCATTCGTTATGGTATAACGTATAATCTAAATTCAGAATATTAATATAGAARTAAACACGTAAGATTTGAAGTTCCTTAATCACTCAAACATGTAAAATAGAATTTCAGAAACTTACTTTGCAATATAGTACTCAGTGGCGTAAGACAGTTACTCGAACTAAAATTAGAGCTTAAAATAAAACACGAATCTGCATCAAATTCGCTACCTCGATGGAACAATTCACGCCTAAGCCTCCCTAACCTATAATATATACTACTTCCAACTACCCGACTTAACCGCATCGTAAATGTTATTAAGAGRACGCTTCACAACCATTTGTTGTCTCCGTCTAACAAATCCATAAAAGCATTTGCAAATTTAAGCTCAACAGATCACGTTTAATTCCGTTAGTCTAAAAATTAGAGTGAATCGACCTAATATGAAACAAATTATGCGTTTATAAAAAAGAGTAAATTAAAAACGCTCATAACTCACTTAAAAACTAAGTTATCGTAAAAAACCACATACAAACACAGATAATGTTCTTACCATCAAGTTTCATAATAGGTAAATTTACTCTAATTTCTAAACTAACGGAATTGAACGTGATCTGCTGGGTSTACATTTGCCATGTTACGCACTTGTAAGACGGAGACAACGAATATGTGTGTAGCGTCCTCTTAATAATAATAATTAATAATTATTATTTATAACAGCCAATATTTTATTTTATTTCGACACTCACCAACACGCTGGCCTGTCCGGTGTAAATAAAGTCCAGCACTGTCTTCATGTGCGACTCCTTGATCTCGGGAAACTGGAGCACCAGGTTGTGGTACATGCACACGTTGTCTTCCTTGAGCAGCCGCCGGACAAGCGGACTGACGGAAGCCAGCACCAGCGAGTGGGCCCGGATGGTGGCACCCTGCTCACACATCAGCTCCATGTCCGAGTGTTCGTCTCCGGCCTGCTGAATTTCCGCCATCAGGTACACGTGGTGGTTCCCATAGTGCAGCGTCAGCGGTGCGGCGTTGCCGCACTCCGAGTCAGTATCATACATCATTTGGCCGTGGCTGTACAACAGGTAAACGAGAACGAATTCGTAGTGAGTATAGGTTTGATCCATATGGTATACATGTCATCATAGGTACTAAATTATAATCTCAGATATTTTATCGAATGGTTTAATATAATGTCGTAGTCGGGAGTTTGTGCGACGGGCAGTGATAACAAAAACACATGTATTAATAATTAACAATGTACATACGATCGTTCTATATTATGATATTTCAGATTCTATTTTTGCTAATAAATAATAAGATTAAAATAATCTTGTTCGTTTGAAAATAAACGAAAAGGGTCATGATCTATGACCCAGTTGAGCTTTTGCGAGAACCAATGTCTTGTTCATACGTATAAATATAATAATATAGTATACCAATAATGTTATAATACATAGTAAAATATATTATATGCATTTATGTGATCGATCAGCATCTGTWAGGCGTATCATATATAATACTGTTTAATAATTATTATGCAGGATTATGCAGAATAATATTAAGTAGTTTTTATTAGGATATAAAATTACATATTAACGAAAAAAACAAAATATTGTAYACAAGTCTTTAAAGTTTATACARCATACATTATACACTTTTTGTGTTTTATACCAACAAAAACTGATCTAGATTTGTACATAAATATTGAATTCTTTAATAAATATTGTTATCACCCGACTGACTTATACTGTTTGTATTATTCGAAAGGGTTTCCGAACTGTTTAAACCGTTTTTAACCACRACAGTAGAAAATAAAATATAACTAAAAACTATATATGGTCTCTATCGTTGATAAGGTCATATAATTTTATAATAAGATATTGTTTTAATATTTTCGTATTATTATTGTTATAACGATCTATATAATTATTGTTTTAAGCCGTTTCACACGTACCTACAATAGTATGTATATACCTACGTGKATATCTGCAAGCATTACCGCTTTTCAATATATGATAACAACGGAGATAGATAAAATTTTAATTTAATTAAATTGTGGAGTATGTTTACAAAAGTTTAGTTTTATCGAAAGGCGATAGGTATACATTTCTAAATTAGTAAGAAAATTAGTGACGTGTGTAAAAATAAACACCTTTTTCCACGATGCTCTTGAGACTTTCAATATAATATATTAAATTGTCTTTCTAAAAATTAATGCCTTATTGGCAATACGAATGATTTGGTCAAATTTTCCTTTAAACGTATAAGTAATAAACACTTATTACTTAATGTGTATATTATACTGTATGAACATTGCCCATAAAGAATAAGTTAGGTCTTATATGCGCATTGTTGCATGGTACATTTTAGTTTTTGCACCWATCACCATCGAATACATTCAGTATGGTATTATAAATTAAGTATTTAAACGACACCATATTAATATTTTTAGTAGTGTCTAACGTAAACGTTAATTAAAAACGATTTGGATAATCTTTAATATAGGCGGCATAAACATCACACACTGAAGATACTTAACGAAATAAGTTATATCGGTCAAGTTTTGACATCAATGAATTTTTTCAACTCAAAGAACGTCATAATAACAATAATAATTGATCATCGTCTACCCGAAAAGAATATAATAATATATATATATATATATTATCGATCGACTATTGATACCAATGTATTCGACATCTTGAGTTCTTGACTATACTAAAACAGACATGAATTTATGGCATGTGGCTCGAAACTCAAGCACCATCATATGGGCTGACGATTTTTTTTTTTTTTTTTATAATATATGTGAGTATACGTTATTTTTTTGTCATTAAATATACAATTTTTTTTTGTTTTTAATCTTTTTTTTAATTAAGTCTATAGTAGATGTTTTGTTGTATTAGAAAATATGTTAAAAATAATAAAGTGTTAAATTTATTGTTAATTATGGAACGTACGTACGTGCTGATGTTTCCTATTTTTAATGAATAACTCTAAGCCACCTCTCCACGAATTACGGTTTGTAATATTTGTATGTTATATATTATCTATATTTCAACAGATATCGATTGTTATTGCAAAGTTTAATTAACGCAGATTTGATTTTTAAGCTGAACTCACACGGATCGTCCAATAAAAAAAAAAAAAAACAAGCCAAAAACTACCACTGAATCGTGAGAATTCGGCAAAAAATTTTGTCATTTTTCCACGGTTATTAAAAGAAATGTCATTATTATGGCGTGGCTGGTGACACTTCACTGTGAGTAAAACGTGTCACTCAAAAACGTCCCAATAACTTCACGTGAATCGCCTTGTCACTCGTTTAAATTATTTTATAATACTAGTTGATCTCCGTGCACTTCGTTGCCCATTAAGAATACCAACTCAATATGATTCAAAATGTGCGTTGAATACATCATTTTATAGATACTAAAATAATAGTAATAAATTAATTAATAATTTACAACGTGCATATATGAATATAATATAGTTCATAGATTTAAAATCGCAATGACCCGAAAAATAACACTCAAAATTGTATTTGACCTCAAAACAATGATTTACCTACTCTTATTAATGTTTTCAGATGTCTTAAACCTACTATACCTCTTATAAAAAGTATCACGCTTCTCGATATTCTACCCCTACAAGGAAAATCTATGAACCATAAATATGTTTTTGTAACCATKATAACGAAATTCTCACTCAAAATCGGTCAGAAAAACAAAATATTTGTATATAGCCGAAGACAATAATAGTCTAATTTTTTTTTTATGTTCAGTATAGGCAAACCAAAATATACTCGAATTTATGWTGAATGTGATCCTGTAATAATATAATAACAAAAAATATCAATGTTGGAGAATGCATTATTTATAGGGTTAAACACTTAACCATATTTTTAATCGTTATAAAATTACATACTATAAATTTATAGTCACTTAGGATGCTTACAAAGTGAGAAACGAGTGATGAGATTATTAGTAATTATTTTCATAATAATGAGATGACAGATGAATTAGAGTGTGTAAAATTCTTATAAATATACATATATGATATAATACATTGATAGGTAGGTACTCACATGAACTATCTACTATATATTTGTATATTATATATATATATATATATAGTATGTAAAATAATGTACGTCAAGATGAAGCTTAGAAATTCTTGTACCAATTAGTACAACATTTTGCACACATATTCTTTGACACTCAGGGAGTATTTATAACTTCGTTTTTAAATCCGTGTTATAGATTGCTATAGAATATAATATTCAATTACACATTAATTTTGTTTTTACCAACAAAAATCAATAAAAGAAATAATAAAAATATTTTTTCATTTATACTATACCTATGTATATAGAATGTACAGTGTTGCTATTAATTACTATCTTTATGTTGGTAGCTTATAGACTACTTGAGAATGATTTTGACCAAAATTTCAAAAAATTGTGTTCTGAGAGCAAGAGTTTTAAACTTAAATAACATTAAAAAAATAAATACCTAGTGTTATATCCAACCTGACACTGTAAGTGAATGGCTCAGCCCTGATGACTATTTTACTGTGAACTAAGAATCACTAAAACCGAAACACATCGATAAAACGCCGTATTTAATTTTTTTTTTTTTTTTTACCAAGCAAAATCAGTTATAAATATATCTAGTTTATTATAAAATGACATAATAATTTAAAGTGAAAAACAGTGTGCTTATATCCGTTTTAGAAATTATTGGTAACCGCATATTTCATAACAGACAACTCGTAAGTAATAATGATATGTATTTTTCATATTTTATCTAGATTGTATCTAAATGAATAATAATTGATTGAAGAACTTTTATGAAATCATAAAAATTGTGAGTCAAGTGAAATATACCTACATTTTAATCGCAAAACATGTACTATACCACCACACTGCAGGCAGCCACTACTATGAAGGGAATTATAATGAAAATGTTCCCAATTATAATGTTATAATTTATAAAATATCGTATCTATACGTACGAATGGAGAGAGTTCATTACTCATCGCGATAAATTCGTTAAGAAACTCGTAAATTGTTATTTATTATTTATTAAATTTTACTATCGTACGATAACAAAAGAAAAGAGAGAGAAAAAATTAACGCGTGGAATATAGTTATAGATACCATGTATAATAGTTGCGCACAAATATGGTAAACTTGTTGCACTCGAGCTCACTCCGACACGCACACACACTCGCCTACACACCTGTTGAAGGCACAAGTATATAGAGCGGCATATATAACAAATATAATGGTTGTATTAAAGCATTATATTATAATTGTGAAAAACAAACTGGCGCGGTATCTAATTGAAAATAATATGTATATTATTGTAAGTTTATTTATTATATTTAGCATAATATAATATTATACATGACACAGCGATTTCTCTATTTTCAAGAGTATCTTATCCAATAATTGCTACACAGGGTATTCGTAAGGTTTAATTACAATGTTTAAATGTTTCATGTACTCCTTGATTTTCTATTGATAAAATTAAAGAAAAAATTAAAAATTAATTGAAAAAAATGAAATCAATAATCTATCAACTTATAATAAAATAAAAATAAGCTAAATATAATAATAGTGTTGCATCGGGTTTCAAGTGTTATATGTACATCCCTGACGATACTGCGCGTCCATGTAATGTAAACATATTTCTTTGATTAGTATTATTTAGATTTACACATACGTACATATTGCATTGTTTAGCACTGACATCTCACATATTTTTTATTTCCTTAAAATATTTCTAAGTGCCGACTACATAGGAATAATATATGATATATCCTGGACCACCATCTACATCACAATCCGATGCGATGCTGATATTGTGGTGTGGCAAACTAATATAAAAATATTCGCGAGTGTGCTACGAGCGTAATTTATTATCAGATAACATCATACTATGAAAATATAATATAGTTGTGATTAAAAGCARCGCTAGCGTTCAGCTAAAAGTAATGAGAAAATCACGTTTTATTACGCATGCGAGCAAATACGTATCAATAATAATATCGGATTAGATTATTAT